ATATGATAGTCTGTTATATTTGACAACCACTAGTGAAGCATGTTTGGGAATCATGACATTTGTATTTGCATTAAAATATTAATAGATTAATAACCAACTAACAAAGTAATGACTCGATTTTCCTCTGAAGTCAAACACTACATACCTAAAGGTTAACTAACTACCAGGAAAAATAGCTAAAGGGAAGCAAAACAGAAAGTTGCTAATAATCCTACCAGACCTGTTTTTTAAAGACCTGTTCCTTTGCTGCACCTCTTTAAATTTTCAGTTTAAAACTTCCTTTCAATTATAAAACTCCAGTTAATAGTAATGTAGATGTTATATGAACCTTTTAGAATTGTATGTAACTCGTTCTCCTTTTATAAAAAAATAATAAGATTGATATTTGAAATTTGAAATAGGTGTCCATTTTAATTATAAGTCCTTAATAACCACACAGTTTATCCTCCAGTTTTAAATATTCATGCAATATAAGTTCATTCTTATTATATTTACTTTAAAAACATGCCACTACGTCACTCTTTATGTGGAATGGTCTAATGGAAATGTATTGTTTCTTGATTTGGGGTACCTTAACCTTTCTATAAATAAAAATTAACATTTTATTTTTAATTGAAGTCAAACATTTTCAACATTATTCAATTATTTTTAAAAATCAAAGCTCATCGTTCCATTTAAATACACTTCTTCAGTTCCGTTTACAGAGTGCAATATGTAAGAAACATTTTTTAGATGGACATTGAATCCACTGATGTAAAAATAAAGAAAATATATGGCGTTTATGTCAATCTTTCTTTATTGTTCTAATTATGAAATAATAAAAATAAACATCTCTGTCTAAAACACATATCAATGTAGAGCACAAGCAGGAGGTGTGGTTTAGAGAAAGAGAAATAAATGCTGCTTGACAGCTGCTTTTTCGCACAGTTGCATTTCTCCCTTTACCTTGACTAGTAGAAGTTTCTTCTGCAATGGGCGACTCGTATGTCATAGCAATAGATTTTGGCACTGCATTTAGTGGGTATGCCTTTAATATCACAACCAGAGAGGAAAAAAGTGAACCACACCTGCAAAGGTGGGGAAAAGAGTATGGATTTGACTCCCCAAAGACTCCAACCTGCATTTTGTTTAATGAAGATGAAACATGTCTGAGTTTTGGCTATGAAGCCAAAATGACATACAAGGAAATGAGCAGAGAAGAAGCAAAGAAGTATTATTACTTTGAAGATTTCAAGATGGCCCTCTATAGCAAAGTAAGTATGAACAAATCCCTCATAACTATATAATGTAATGTTATAATGCATGTTTTAATTCTAATATTTAAGTCTTGGAATCATTCACTATGTTCATCATTTCTATACTTTGGCTACAACTTCCTCAAATAGTTTTTAGTGAAGATGTGTCTCTTAATAATTTTGTGCATTTTTAAATTGTATTAGTTCTATTTTTTACTTGCTTTTTTACATTTTTTGTGTCATTTCTTTTTCTTCTTATTTTATTACAAACATCAAAAACATATTCATTGTTAATTCCATGGGCCATCATTTCTGTGATATTTCAGGTTTTGCCTGACTTTATGTCAGCTAGCATTTCGGATCACTCACACACACCTACTCTCCTCCCTACATGAAACACTCCCTCATCATGAACCTCTTACTGGGCCAGCAGGAGATAATCTGACCTTTTGCTAAATCTGTCCCTGGGTTCATGTCTCTCGTCTATTTCACCCTCCTCATCATCCTCCTCTAACAAATCTTTTTTGTCAGAGGAAAATTGCTCAGCTCCTATTCCGGCACTGAACAATTAGAGTGGAGTTTTTTATTAAGAGTGTGAGTTTTTCTGTTATTGATTAGTCTTTGCATTATGTTGCAGTAATGGCTTTACCTTACTCCTCTCCATTTCTATAACTCAATCTGTTAACTTTAGGCCATATAATGTGACCAACTAGTCTCTCTTAAAAATATTGAGACTTTTATATAAGCAGAACACCAGCTAATTTAGTTATCCTTCTATTTTAAGATATTATTATATCATTCGTAAAATCAGTAAAACTATTACTCTATTTTAATGTATTATTTTAGAGCATAAATTTGGCAAGGAGTCCTGAGGAGGAGGGGTCCTCAGAGCAGAAAATTAACCAAACTAGAAATTTAAACAACAGTGAAAAATCATGTAACAGTCAGATAAATATTAATGTCTAGGTAAAATAAGTGTTTGGGCAAAATGTTTAAGGCTAGCATAGTTAAAACTCAACCATGAAATTTATTCTACTTCAACCCTATCAGATGTCCTAATATTGCTTGTCTACTTTCTAAAACTCTGCTTGTAAACAGTATAAATTGTTTGTAAGCTCCCCCTTTAGAAATCTGACTGTCCCTTTTGAAGGTAGATTAGAAAGAACTTACAAATATACTCAGACCTTTTGAAGTTTAGTAAGCCCTGGAAATTGTTTATGAAACATATCATGTGATGTATCAAGAAAACTAAAGGCATTTTTGGACTGCATGGCCTGGCCAGCCCCTTTCAGCTTTGGTTCTTGTTATTTTTGCATTGAGCATAGTGCAGCCTCAAAGTGTGCTGGGAACATGGAAGCTGCCGATGCTGTCTCCCCACAGACCGTGGAACACTTTGGTTCTTTTTCATCCCATTCAGCTTCTTCTGAACGCATTTGTAAATGAAGAATCTGAGGAAAAGAATTACCTCAGCTTTCCCTCTTCACTAAAATATTCAAATAATTTTCTTCTGAGTTTCATCTCAGAGCTGAATTTGGTGCAGCTAAACTACTGCTGCATCTTGCAGAAATTTCCCCACTGGAACAGAGAAAGATCAGGAAATCCACTTGTTCAGAGACTCAACTTCTGATCACTTCCGTTGGAGAAATGTTCTCCAATTTAAAGAGCTTTGGCTGAAGAGTAGTTTCCAGTGTAGTATATAAAATATGTAATTATTATCATTTCAAAAGTTATAGGTAGGAGTGAATTATAATGGGAATTTCTTGACAATGTTAGTCAAAATGACAGACATTGAGAAAGGCTAATGGTCATCTCTGTACCTGGCCATGGTGCACCAATCAACAACTGAACTCAAACCAGCCTCGCCCAGTCGGCCTGATTAGAATCGCAGCTCTCTGAGCTCCAAGGAGAGGGTTTGGAAGTGCTAATACTAAAATGCTGGACTGAGGTTTGAAATCAGACCGGGTGGAACATTACTAACTAATGCTAAATATAATTAAATTATAATATACATAATATAATTTCAAACAGAAATTAAGATTGCTTATGTCACTAAGCCACTGTATCTAACATCTAAATGAATATCTCCAGGAACTCAGCAGTGATCTGAAGATTAAAGCTGCCAATGGAAAATCTGTGAAGGCATTGAAGGTTTTCTCAGAATCCCTGAGATTTCTTAAAGAAGATGCACTGAGAACAATCAGTTCCACCACATCAGATTTACCGTTCACAGCCTCCGACTTCACCTGGGTCCTGACTGTTCCTGCCATCTGGGATCCTTCAGCTAAACAGTTCATGAGAAAAGCTGCAATGCAGGTAACATCAGGTTTTACAGAGACCAATAAAGTTCTGAAATGTACAGATGGATGAGAGTTTATCATTTTGTAGGCAGGTATTATAACAGAAGAAGATGAGGAAAAACTGGTGATTGCCCTGGAACCAGAAGCTGCTTCAATCTGGTGTAAGAAGCTTCCATCTGAGGGTTTCATCTCTGAGAAGCACAACGCAGAGTCACTGGATCAGTCTGCAGGGACGCAGTACATCGTTGTTGACTGTGGAGGTAATGTGTCTGTGATATTGATGCAATGTGTTATTGATTCATTCACAAAGCATTTTTTAGTTTCTATGTACAAGAACATTATAAAACAATGTTTTGGGGGAGGGGATTGCAGACTGTTATGAAACTAGAATGGCTCAAACTTCAATAGATGTGTTATTATTATTAAACCATTTTTCTCTATTACTCCCTCTGTTTATTTAAGGAGGAACCATTGACATCACTGTTCATGAAGTCCTGGGTGGAGGAGCCCTGAAGGAGCGACACAAAGTCTCTGGAAATAATCTGGGAGGACAAACTGTGGACAGAAAATTTAAGCAGTTTCTCAGAGAGATATTCACTGAAGGAGTCTGGGATGAATTTGAACAAAACTCTCTCAGTGCAGCTCAGAGAATGATGTATGAGTTTAGCTATCTAAAACAGGTAGATAAAGATGTTCAGATCAGCTGTCCAAGAGCACTGGAAAAGTTAGCTAAAGACAAATCAGGCACAGAAAACTTTGTTAAGTCAGAACTTGGTGCTTCCTGGGATGGTGATTTCATCAAAATCTCAAGAGACAAAATGAGATCTTTCTATGATGAAAGCCTGAAGGGCATCACTGAGAATCTCATGGAAATCTTTACCAGTGGTCTCAACATCAAGTACATTCTGTTAGTGGGTGGGTACGCTCAGAGTAAAGTTCTGCAGCAGCACATTACTGACCAGTTTGGACATCAGTGTAAAGTTCTGTGTCCTTTCAGAGCTCAGGAGGCGATTCTGAGAGGAGCTGTAGAGTTTGGTAGAAACCCAAACATTGTGGCTTCTCGTAAAAGTTCCTATACTTATGGATTCGCTGTTTGTGAAAAGTTTGATGAGATCAAACATAAGAAAGAAAAGAAATTTACAGCCAAAGGTGTTGAATGGAGTCGAGATATTTTCAGGAAACTGGTGGAAGAAGGTGAAGATCTTGGTTCAGAGGAGACCAGAAAGTTCTTATGTTCTCCAGCAAAAGATGACCAGAAACAGATGAAACTGAGATTCTTCCGCTCAGTAAGAAAATATCCAGTCTATGTAGATGACTCTGATGTAAAAGAGGAAGGTTCATTCATTGTAGACTTGACTATAGGTAGTAAAGTCAAACTGGAAATTATGTTTGGCTCCACAGAGATAACAGCTACAGGGATCAACCAGACAACAGGGAAGGAAAAAAAAGTCAAAATTGACTTCATGACCAAAGACAAAGAATGTGTCGTTGATGGTGATGTAGAAGATGATGGTAGTGTTGGATCCAGTTCTCAGTCACAGGAATATATTTATGACGGTGCTGATGAAACTTGTTACCAAGGGGTCACAAAAGGTTTGATAAAGGTTTTTGTGTCAGAGTGAATCATCATTGAATCAATATAAGCATTTTCCAGTGAAAGTGGTTATAATCATAAATATCATTGATTATTGGTGTCATTGATTATATAATAGATGAATCCTCGCCATATGGTGGTGGAAAGTAATAGACATATTTTCTGAGATATGTCAACAGTTGCATGGAAGGGATTACTAAAAAGCAGATTAAATGTTATTTTTTACTTTTTGTGCTGAAACAGGTCTAGAAATAATTTTATTTTAATTGTTTTATTAAAATAATGCTGAAGTTATACAAGAGTAAAAAAAATAAGGTGGAATATTTGCTGTGGTGGGAACACTTCAGTTTTCAGCCAACAACATTATTATTGTGCAAAATTTTGTGGTTTGTAATATCAGCTGAGTTTAAATACTCAGCATTATGATCTTTGAAAGATAATTAATCACTGTTTGTGGAATATGGTGCATATAGTGGATCCTGATGGTGCATTTAACTGCTTCTAAGAAACGCGTATGACCATTTCTGGTTCACAAAGGTTTTTTTTTTTCTTTTTAATTGCTATTTGTTTTACTTATTGATGGTTAATGACCAAATCAAAATGAATCATAACTTTGAAAATAACCTCACAAATTTATTACAACTATAGTGCTGATTTTTTTTTTACTAAATATAATAAAGAAATGCTAAGATTACATTTTTACATTATCATTTTGGATTTAAATAGAGGCAGTGGCTAAATGCCAAAATAAGCAAATACTATAATAATAATAATAATAATAATAATAATAATAATAAAAACCCATCCCGGGAGAGTGAGTAGAATCTTCTCATGACTGTGTCTGGAGGGAGACTCATACCCAGTTACTTTTTAAAAATAACCTTTAAGTTGATAATATTTTTTGTTGAGCCCAGTTTTTACAAATTGTTTTAATGGTCAGATTTACTATAATTTGAAATGTCATGTTTTTGTTAGCTGTATACAGAAAAATCATAACAACAATAAAATATTTTTAACAACCATCTGTGTCTAGTTTTCAACACTGAAATAACACATCCTAGATTTTAATTAAATACATTCTCATTGTCTTAATAAAACTTTATTAACACAGTGGAATTGATTAAGAAAATAACAAACATTATCAATGTAAACCAAAAATTATTACATCGTATAGATCTGGATTTGGATTCATAATCAAGTGGAAAATAACATGTCGGTGAATATTCCTCGTGATAAGTCTAAATGAGGCTCAGTAGTGTGTGTGTCCACTTCTTGTCTATATAACCTTCAGATAATGCCTTGAGATGCTCCTGATGAGACGGCAGATTGATTGATAGAGGGGTTTTCATGATATCATAATGCCCATCCGAAGAATGAAGGCCTGCTAAGATAAAGGGCCGAAATAATATCAGGCAAGAGAGTGAAGGATAGTTGAAGGTGCGGAGCCAGGCAGGAGATGGGATCAACTAGGGACACAAAAATATCTGGAGAAAGGCTGGAGGATAGGTGCCCGCTGTAAGGGAACCATGTTGAAAAGTATGAGTGAAAAAGAAAACAACTGAGACATGGATCAACAATGAGAGACAGGCTAGGACATGGGCCGGCTGCAGGGGCTGGAGATGCTGGGACATGGGCCAGCTGATGGGTTACTGAGATAGCTTCAGGGAAACTGAAAGAGGTTGGCAATAGAGCTGTTTGATAGAGGGACAGAAAGCTAGAAGTAGACTTACAGGTTCAATCTTTGGAGGATGCGTGTGAGAGTAATAACGCAGAAACGAACCTGGAAGTAGCAGCATGGGAGGACACAAAAAGGGACATACAGGACAATCAAGTGATACGTTTACACTTTGGACAAGGTAGACCAACCACCACCAGCGAATTGCGGAGTGCTCGTCTGGCACGGAGGGAGCTATAGACACAGAAGAGATACATAATCAACATTAGAGTCAAAATGATCATGGGCGAAACAAGCAGAGATAAGATTAAAGTCAGTTGATGACATGAAACGGACTGGTGAAGGTTCAGATTTATGGTAACACACGACTTATGAGAGCCACAACTAGGGATTCCTTGCAGAGTTAGCCCCTCAGGAAACAGGTTATGGCCGTGGAACAATTTCATAAAAAGCTGGAAACTCTAGCTGCACAAATGAAGGTGAAGCTGAACCAACTACATAGAATATCCCCTCCCCCCCCAAAAAAGGGGGCCATGCCCGACGGACTGAATTTAAAATGGGAAATAGAAAGGAAATGCCATCATAAACTCATCGAAAAGCTTTGACGTGTAGAGATGTGCCACGCGAATGAACTTCACTTGGACCCGGCAATGGGGTTGGGGGTTCAAACTCTAGATGGGGCTGTGAGCTTTAGGATACCTGCAAGAGCTGATTGCCGTAGTGACAGACCCACAAGAACGACTGGTAAGTGTCTAATGGCTATTGGCCCAGAAATGAGACTGGAATGAGCACATTTGAGTGTGGGACAGGGGCAAGCAAGAGAACCAACTACATAACCTGAAAGTGGCAGGATGGTCTGGGAAATAATCTGCCGATGTCGGGAGATCTTGAGATAAGAACTGAGAAGCGACCCATGGGACTTGAACAGGACACATCAGAATAAGGGACAGCTCGGTTGATAGCGGCTAAGCAAGTAGACCAGGAATATCCAGAAATTCGACAGCTAAGGAAAACCTAAAACTTAAGCTATGAAAAGGATTACTTATTGATCACCTGCTGGAATAGTGACTGCTGTGAGAAGAAAATAGAGCCAGAGATTTTCCACAAATATATTACAACCTAAAATCTTCTTCAACAGGCAGAATGAATTTACATAGCTGAACATACACAATGACAATGGCCACGGGAGTCTTGTTAACAAGCTTAAGGGGTTGTATTGAAATTAGTCATAACTAAGCTAACATCCAGGGCCGTGCAGAGGCCACTAAAAGGGCAGGTGCTCAAAAAAGAAAAAAGGGCACATCTTACCGCATTCT